TTTTTTTTTTTTTTTTTTTTTTTTTTTTTTTTTTTTTTTTTTTTTTTTTTTTTTTTTTTTTTTTTTTTTCCTGTTCCATACGGCAGTGGATCGCTAAGGACAGATAGATAAAAACAGACAGATGGAAGGTGTGGTGGCTGTGAAGAACAGTAAATACGACAGCCCCATGTATCCTCTCCTTCTCAAGGAGAGCGTGGAAGTGGACTCGGTAGAGACCCGACAAACAAGCAAACCCAAATACTGTGCTCTAAATTAATAAGTCAATTTAAATTGTGATATCTAATATTTACTCCTTATTAACTTCTTACATCTAATGTATAGAATTACTGATCTTATAAGTAAATATGATTATATTAAATGTAATATAATTATAAAACCCGTCAACCATTTTTATTTGTAGATTAATCTATATTAATTTTAAATATAACATTTTTAATTAAATTTGTTAGTTCATTATCATTTATATTATTTATAATGAAATTGGTAAATGTTACGACAATTTGGGCGATTTGACTACATCAATATAATATACAGCGTTATTAACTAAGGTGAACTAAGGTTTTTTAATATTTATTTTATTTCACAATAGAATATAATATCGGGTCAATTATTATTTTTATATATATTTTAATGTTTGGTTGAGATAATTGTCTGTTTTTTTAAAAGAAAAATATTAAACATTACAACCGTGACTATTTATTTGTTTATTGTCCACATTTAACAACTATTTACAAAACTCAGCTTTTATTTTAAAATTTAAAAGTTGAATAGAGTTTAGCATGCTGGTTAGCAATACTAACACTAATAAATATTGTCAATTTTATATAGTCGATCAATATTACAGTTTTAAAACAGGTAGATTTTCATATAAAAATGTTTCATTTTTGTTTCCAACTAACACGTGATCTCATGGTTATCATGCATCTTGGGAGCGTTGGGGTGGACGGAATGGTCGAGTGAGATGGCCCCATCCATACAAGCCAAAGGACAGCTCTTGTTTTTGTCCAAATGTGATGGGTCTAAGGACAGTGTTCATGACTGGGGACATAGTTTGTTCTTGTTGGACTTTCTGTGACACTTGTAGCTTAGGATTTTAAGCTGGAAATCAAATAGGCATCAACATTCCAAACACAAAATCGGTTTAAATTTTGAAGATAAACAGATAAAGATCCTTAGGACTGCAACGCCCAATGCTCTGCAAACCATGTACGAAAAGACACCAATTTGTCAAATCCACCAGACCTGCCCTTTACTGACTCTGTGATTAAAGCAAAATGAAAAAAAAAACCCCAAACCAAAACCATGGCTGCAATAAAGAGATGATACCCATTTTGGTTACCTGACCTCCGCTTGCTCCGCTCTCTCTGCCCTTCGTAAACTCCGTTTAGATTTAGCAACCTTCTGTAATTGGAGAGAGAGAGTGCCAAAAGCGATTGAAAGTAGCCAATAATGTTTCCATTCTCTTTGGCATTAATGGGAAATTGGGTGCTTTTAGAACAGCAAATGCGTCATTAGAGAAGACCCACCTGGTTTCAATTTGTAATTCTTTTTGAATTTTTTGATCTCAGTTTTGTGTTGGTGGGGACTTTGGATGAGATCGGTAAGAGATTGAAATGAAACATTTTTTATAAGAACGTGAAAATCTCTCCTTAATAGATGGTTTTAAAAATCGTGAGGGGAAGCCTAAGGAAAGTTCAAAGAAGATAATATCGGCTAGTGGTGGGCGAGCCAGAGATCGGCTGTGTGTCAGTGAGGAGGCTGAGTCCTAAATGGATAGACACGAGGTAGTGTGTTAGTAAGGACGTTAGGCCCGGAAGGAATGAATTGGGGAGGATCTCACGTAGATTAGAGAAAGGAAGGCCCTAAAGGGGGTGCTCTCCCTGTCTCTATCAGACGCGTTTTAAAAACTTTGAAGGAGGAGTCGGAAAAGAAAGCGATTCAGGGTATGCTCTACTTGTCTCTATTAGACACGTTTTAAAAATTTTGAGAAAATGCTAAAAAAAAAAAAATAAATAAAGCGAAAGAGGCCAGCTAGCTTACAAGGGGACATTTTCTCTCTTAGTTTTTGAGAAATTTTCGTTCTTTTTGTTTGTTTCATATGCACAGAGACTGGGAGAGCATAAGCATTGTTCATTTCTTTCTATGAACTTTGCAAAACTTAGCTCTATCATGTATATCATTGAGAGGGAAAACCAAATCAGGAGCTTACTTTGTCTCCAATGATTGAGTTGCTTTGCTAAAACACAATAAACTTCTGCATAAGTAGAGGGAGATGACTATGGAAGTTACTTCTGAATCTCAGCAGCATTCTGTCTACCACCACCAAAGCCAGCCAACTCCAGCAATAGCTATCTCCAACACCATGTCAAATAGCTTCTCAGCTTCCCAGCACTACAATGGTGATTTTCTGTCTCCCCTGTCTGTAATGCCGCTCAAGTCAGATGGGTCTCTTTGTATCATGGACTCAATCAGCAGATCACAAACTCCAGGTCTATTTCCTTCTTCTTATGTCAAATCTTTACTCTGATGAAGCTGTTCTAACCAAAAGTTCTTACCTTTTGATGCTTAGAAACATTGCCAAACATCTCCCCAAAACTTGAGGACTTTCTTGGTGGTGCAACTCATGGAAGAGAGGCGGCCACAGCTCTAAGCTTAGACAGCAGATATTACAATCAAAATCCTGAGGCTAACTCAGAAAGACAACAACGTATTCTTCTTCATTCTGAGCGATACTATTCTGGAATGTTCCATTATCCTGCTGAGGATGTCAACAAGGAGTCTCATATTGCAAGTTATTGCTCTGAAATTCGACAAGATATGGAGCAGCGCATCAATGGCTGCTTTGGAGGAGGGAGGAATTGCCAAGACTTGCAGACACTTAGCTTGTCCATGAGCCCTGGCTCTCAGTCTAGTTGTGTTACTACACCAAGCCAAATTTCTCAATCTGGACAAGCCACCATGGAGACAAAGAAAAGGGCTTTGGCTGATCGAAAGCAGCCGGTCCATCGGAAGTCGATCGACACGTTCGGACAAAGAACTTCACAGTATAGAGGTGTTACAAGGTTGTTCTAAAGTTTCTAATATGTTATGTTTGTTTTAGTATAAATCATTTTGAGTTAGTTTAGTGAAATTTTGGTAGTTCTTTGTTATCAGACATAGATGGACTGGTAGATATGAGGCTCATTTGTGGGACAATAGTTGTAAGAAGGAAGGTCAAACCAGGAAAGGGAGACAAGGTACTCAGATTTTAGACCATTTCCTTGTTGCTTGTCATGTTCCTCCAATGTTTTTGTCTAACTTCAAACCATTTCCTTGTTGCTTGTCATGTTCAACTTCCTTATGGATGCTGTTGAATTCAGTTTATCTCGGTAAGCGTTTGTCGAAGAACGTTGCGGTAGGAAGTCGATTACATGGAAGTTTATTGGTAGTTAATTTGAATTTCAGGTGGCTATGATATGGAGGAGAAAGCAGCAAGAGCCTATGATCTTGCAGCTCTCAAGTACTGGGGACCCTCCACACACTTAAACTTCCCAGTATGATATGGTTATAGCGTTATCGTCCAGTTATGGTCTTTTGAATTCTTCTGACAATGGTGCTTTTACAGTTGAAGAACTATGAACTTCAAATTGAAGAAATGATGAACATGAACCGCCAAGAATATGTCGCGCACCTGAGAAGGTACTCGAAAAAGTTCGACCTTATTGTTTCATTTTGTTGCCATACCGTTTGCTCTTCGTATTTCTGTGAGATCCCTCATCGGTTCAAGAGGGGAACGAAACATTCTTTATAAGGGCGTGGAAACCTCTCCAACCATGAGAGAAAGCCCAAATAGAACAATATATGTTAGCGGTGGGCTTGGACTGTTACAAATGGTATTAAAGCCAGACACCGGACAGTGTGCCAGTGAGGCCACTGGACTCCCAAAGGGAGTGGATTTTGAGATCCCATATCAGTTGAAGAGGGGGACGAAACATTTTTTATAAAGGTGTGGAAACCTTTCCCTAACAGTCGAGTTTTAAAACTTTGAGAAGAAGCCTAGGAGGGAAAACCTCAAGAGGACAATATCTGCTAGCGGTGGGCTTGAACGGTTACAATTTTCTTGTAGATGGTCTCATTTTCTGGTTTTTGGTTTGCAGGAAAAGCAGTGGATTCTCCCGGGGAGCTTCCATATACAGAGGAGTAACTAGGTGTGTTTGTAAGATTCAATCAATGTTTTACTTTTTCTTTCTGCTTAATTTTGTGAGATCGGTAAAGGCGAGGAAACCTCTTTTTAGTAGACGGGTTTTAAAACTATAAGACTGACAGCGATACGTAACGAACCATAGCGGACAACATCTGTGAATGGTGGCTTTAGCTGTTACATTAATAAGATCAGTCTTTTGACTGCTTTTTCAGACATCATCAGCATGGGAGATGGCAAGCTCGGATTGGAAGAGTCGCGGGGAATAAAGACCTTTATCTTGGAACATTTGGTTTGTGGAAGTTTCAAGCTGTTAAATTTAGACACTTTTCATATTATGTCTTGAATCTTTAGCTGTGTTCTTTGCTAGCTATGAGGGTCTACAACACTTGACCAATCCAATTTTGTTAGCTTTGTTATCATCTATCCTTTGCGCTATAATGATGTCCAGGCACACAAGAGGAAGCTGCAGAAGCATATGACATAGCAGCTATCAAGTTCCGTGGCATAAACGCCGTGACAAACTTCGACACTTCAAGGTACGACGTAGAAAGGATCATGGCGAGCAGTAGCCTCCTCTCAGGAGAATTTGCAAGACGAAATAGAGATCACAAACCAACCAACGCCATCAAACATGAAGAACCAAAGCAGAACATCTCTCGAACCGACCCCGCGGAGATATACAACAACAATTTAGATTGGAGGACTGTATTCCACGAGAACCTGCTGCTGGATCCAAGCGCAAGCGTCGAATCCATAGACCAAAAGTCCATGGCCTCGAGCGGCGGATACCTGAATAATCTGATCGGAGTCGTCGTAGGTTCAAGCAAGTACAAGGCTCAATTCTCCAATGCTTCATCTGTGGTGAGCAGCTTGAGCAGCTCAAGGGAAACTAGTCCTGACAAGCCAAATGGCTCCTCCTCGGTTCCATTTGGAAGCAATGGAAGAAGTATTTGGAAGCAAATGAGGCCAGCTCCTATTTCTTTGCCTGTTGAGTCAACTGTTGGTTGGAATGATGCCTAAGACAAAGCTTCGTTCCATGTCTTTCTTCATTGTTAAAAAAAACATGTAATGAACTGTCGGAACTGCACTCACGAACACAAGAATCTAATCCAAATCCAATCCACCTTGTTTTCCTCGAATCTTTTGGCTCCAAATTCTAAGCAGGCGGGAAAAAAAATTCATTCAAGCAATGCAACATAATAATTGAGTGTGCCTTTCATTATTTCTTTTGAATGGGATGTACAAATCCAGCTCACAGCCATTGCCAATAATGCAACCAGGCCATGGCCATGACCAAACCCTCGTTTTCTAGCAGTGTAGTTGGGCTATTATAAATGGTATCGGAGCCAGACGTCGAGCGGTGTGTCTGCGAGGACGTTAGCCCCTAACGGAGGTGGATTGTGAGATCCCACGTCAGATGAAACATTCTTTATAAAAATGTGGAAACCTCTTTCTAGCATGCACGTTTTAAAACCGTGATGCTGAAGGTGATACGTAACGGGCTAAAATAGACAATATCTACTAGTGGTGGCTTAGGATGGTACACTCTTAGTCTACAGACCCATCTTCATCGCCATTCCAGCTTTGTTTCTTAGTTAAAGGCGACACAACGCCACCACTTTTACTGTTCTTTTTCAAACAAATGAAGAAGACTTCAACTAATTCTGGAAATTGACAGCAAATTTTCTTAAAAGAAAGAGACAACTGGTTTGCATAATAAGGTGTATGTATGTGTGTGCGCTGTTATAAGCAAAAAATGGAGGGAGATTCTTGGGTCTTTGAAATCCCAGTTTTGCCATAATTTGATGGATTATTGGAGGAATGGGGTATCACTATTTTGCTTTCTTTGTGTAAACACTAAATAAATGTCAAGTGGGTCTCATTGGTGGGGTTCCCACGTGTGTAACCGCTATTTCTGCACGACTCACCAACTGCCATCCCCATTATTTTAAAACTCACATATATATTTTTTAGGATGTTTGATATAAGAAGTAAAAGTTTTAAATTTTTTTAGATTAAATTAATAAAAATATCCTTATTTATCTTTAATCTATTATTAAACTTTCAAAAAAATCAAAATAACCTTAAACTTTAAAAAAATGTAAAAAAATACTCTTATCATTACTTTTGAATAAAACCGTTAATATTTTATTTTTAAAATACATTAAAAAATTTACATTAATATTCTTCCACTTTTTATAAAAGTTCAAAAATACTCTTATCGTTATTACTCTATTTTTAAATTTTAAAATAACACTAACACTATTTACCAATATGCGGCACTTTGATCTAAGGAGTGAAGCTCAAGAATTGGGCTATGGAATTGCCTATTGAAAATGTCACATTGGGCTTGGGCCCATGTTGAATTTGGGCCTATAGTTCTTAGGGCCAGCCCAAATTAAGGTGACTAAGTGTGTGGCATGGGCATCTTTTTTTTTTCTTTTTTTTCTTTTTTTTAATACTTTTTAGAGAGTGTGTGTGAGAGAGAGAGAGAGAGAGAGAGAGAGAGATGGGGTTGCTTTCTGTAAAGAAAAGGAAAAGAGAAACTTTCTTCAAAAGTGTGATGGAATGAAGCATCAAGCATGGGCGGAGATTAGCTTTGAAAAGTAACATGTTTTAAAACAAAGTTCCATTCCCTAATTAATTTATTATTTTAAACTTTTGAATTAAGGCCATTAATTTCAATCTCTTGTATTCTTTATACAAAAAGGAAAATAATTTTTAATTATATATTCCAAATGTTAATGGTCCACTTTCGTATGAGTGTATTGTTTACTTATAAACTTATGATTTTCTTCTTAATTACTACTACTCGTCTCAATAATCCTCAACCATCATTCCCTCAAACAAAGTACATCATAGAACCTTCAAGCATCCTCCCGATAATCAAGACTCGACTCTTTGTCTCTGGAGGTTTCGAACAAAATACACCATTATTCTACGAGAACCTGTTGACTCTGATATCATGTTAGGGATCACGAACTTTTACAAATAGTATGATATTGTTCACTTTAAGTATAAGTTTTCATGATTTTACTTTAAGTTTTTTTTAAATGATTTGTACCAATAGAGTTGTATTCCTTCCTTATAAATTTATGATCGGTATAAAAAGGCGTACAGGCGAATGATTTGGAGTGAGAAGGGAGAGGTGATAAGTTGATGTAGCATCACAATCAATCATGCATCTTCTTTATAATACTATTGAGTAACCACTCCTACTTCAGCTGGGCCCTCACATCAACCGAGAAATATACATAATATAATATTATATATAGAGGAATAGATTTGGGTGGTGTTGACCAGAGGTTTGACTGGGGGTGGGTGGGTGGCTGGCGATTGGCTGTGACTAGAAAGAAGATGCAGACAGACGGGAAGAGTATAGCTGGAAATGGAAGAGCAGGACAAGCAAGTAAATTTTGATGATTAGATTCCAATATTCCATATGTTGCTAACCCCAAAGCACTCTTAATCAAAACAAAACAAAACAAAACAAACCAAATCACAGGCTTACAGCTGTTTCTTTCAATAAATAAATTAACCTCCTTTTTCCCTTTTTCTACTCCAAATTGGCTAATTCTTACCATTTCATTCTTAATCTAACGCAACAAAAATGGAAGAACACACACTAATCTTGATCAGATTACGATACTCATTCGCATTCAAACCCTCCAATTTTAATACCCTGTTTCTTGGTTGTAGCTACCAGGATTGATATCTCCAAACCCTGTCTCTGCTACTCACCTTTGTTCTTCTTCTTGTGTTCTTCCTGTTCTAAGCAAAAACAAAAGGAGGCTTCTCAAATCAATCATACTTGGGCATTTGATTGGATGGAGAACTTGGAAAATGTTTTTCTTCCATACCCAAAAGTGAAAAGGGAATCTGCTTTCCTTTTACTGCATTCATGAGCTGTTTCATAGCTAATCTCATTGTTTCTTCTCCACTTTATACTCTCAAAGCTTCACTTTCTTGCGTTGGCCCCCCAAATATATATATTTTTTTGCTTCCCTTTCCTTTTTGCATTTGAACGCAGCAGAACAGAGCAAGCTTCTTCTACACCTTCATGGGGATGCTGCTTTTACTTTAACGCCTTATAAAGCTGCAAACCCTACTACATTTTGTTCTTTGTTTACTCTCGCAAGATATCACCCTCCCCCCTCAGCTCTGGTCAAAACCGCCTTTCCTCTTTCTTTTTTTTTTTTTTTTTTTTTT